TCTGGCATGAAGCGGTGCGCACAAGGCTGGAGGTGCCGCTTTTTAACAGCTTTTCTCCCTCGTGTCATGAACATCTTTCTTAAAAGCTTGGATAAACAATTTAGTAAATAAGCCTCGTGGGGTACTGGTTTGATTGAAATTACTTCTGAATTCAATCAATCAATCTCAAGTTGTATAGCGCCAATTCAAAACAAATGAAATCTCAAAAGACGTTACAAAAGAGCAGGTGAAAGACCTTACTTGTTGTTATATTATCTCCAAAGACCCAACATCTGTCAATCATGAGCACTAAGTAACATTTCACAAAGTTACACTGGCAAGGGAAAAACCTCCTTTTAAGAGGCCGAAACCTTGGGGGAAAAAAACTGACTCGTGATGAACAGCCATGTTGGGCTTGGAAAGTTGGATGGAGGAAGATGAAGGAAGAGGTCAACAATTGACCAGCAAGGCTGGAAGGAAGAAACCAAGCCACGGTCAGCCTGTGAGACTGATCTTAAGGCAAACAGACATTTGCCACACACATTTGTGGATTGCCACACAGGTTTGTGGCTCTTGCACGGAAGAATTGTAGCAAATATCATGAAGAATAACACAGCGACCTACCTCAGTTGTAACTGGTCATTTATGGGATTTCAGCTCTTGGCAAAAAAACATTTATACTTCCACATTTTCAAACTGGTTTCCATATTTGAAGATCTGGGTATGCATCTGTGGATCTATTCACATATTAACAATTAGTTGTGCACCAATAATATCTCCACATACTCTACAGATCTCTACATCTTGTTTTGATTGAGTCTATGTGTTAATTGTTTGCCTGGAAACTGAGGCAGTACTGTAGATCAGAAAAGAAGGTGGTTGGTCCAGGAGCCTCAATCAACTCTGGTCGCCTATGAACAATTGTTTTTATAAAGCTACCTGTACAAGATCTTTTTTTAAACTGATAGTAAAGAAATGGCCTGGTTCTATTCTGCAGATAGAAATGGTTGAAGTTCTTTTATGCTATTATAACTCAGCCCTTGAGAAGGACTATCAAAATAAAATAATTTGAAAGGCTAATCTATATTAGCCGCATAAACCATTTAAAACAACCAGAACAACAGGTCCATTTCAAAGACAACTTCTGAGGTGGAGACTTCAAAGCCAGCAGGAAGCAGGAGACTCTAAGAGGTGAACAGTTACTGAATGGAAGTTTCCAGAACACAGACTGTTTTATTACTAGTTACCACTGACAGGCAAATTTTTATCCAGCTAGAAGCGAGGGCTCTCTTGGGCTTCTATAAAGAAATTCTAAGACAACACATAACTGTGTTCTTTTATATTATCTCTACATCTGTATGTATAACACTTCAGGTGAAGGGGACTGGTGGTTAGGATGTTCAGAGTGACTAGTTCTGTTTTCAATGAAATGGAAACGTAAATTAAGACTAGTGCACCAGTGTAAAGGTAAGAAAACACTAACAAAACAGTACGGTTATAAATTGTCCAAGAGTGTATTGCGTGTAGCCTATTTCATTGTTGTTTGAAACAGTTCATCAGATTCTCAAATAATTAAATTGAAGGCTATTTAAAAGGCTTCTGCTACTTGGATGTGCATTACCCCCTCGGCTAAATTATGTCAAATTGGTTTGCTGAGTGTGGCTACAATTAGAAGTACTGGCAACACCAGCCTTCTAGCCTCCCTGCAGGTTAACGCCCACATGCCTCTGCTGAATGTAGTTCCACATTGTTCTAGGTTGAGTGGTGCCAGTTTACCAGAATTGCCCTTTGTGAATGCCATCTGCCCATTGTGTAGGGTTACATCCGGGCAGTAAAGCAGGGAGCTCAGGCCCATTAACCAAAGCGAAGCCTCCGTTAGCAGCAGCATTACAGCTTAGTCAAAACATTTTACTGACATTTTGCACCATCCCTAATTGGCTGAACCAATTTCCACATCCCTGCAGGAGACACCATGCAAGTTTGCATAAGTGTAATAAAAGAGCACTACATTTTTCTCACCTCAATGTTGGGCAATTATATCAATCTGGTCTCTTTTTAATCTATCTGCGCACAATATAGAGAGTTTCTGACAAACTTATGAAAAGAACTGTGATAAAAGCAAGAACGATGTATGACTGTGTACGGCAAGAGAGACAGAAGCTGCATGGTGAGAAAAGATCTTTGAGCGTTAACCCTTTGACTGAGAATGTGTTAGTGTAGCCTGTCCTCAATTAAACATGGAACCCTTGGGCCATTTTGGAAATGTCAGATCAATTCCAATAACCGGCTTCCAGCATCTTCTCCTTCACTCGTCGTTCTGAGAGTAAGCTCCTGCTGAGAGTACATGTATAAGACTTCTTGGGTCCTTGGGTTATTCTTAATTTGCAGTAATGCATTACCAGTGGTTAAACCACAGGATATAAAGGATTTTTTTCTCAGTTTGGTCCTTTCTGGTTATCAGTTATTTTGGGACCATTTCCAACTTTTGATAGTGGAAACGCCAAAAAATGTGTGCCGTGCCGTACGGAACCAAACTGAACCGATTGGTTCAGTTTGGTTAATGCAAGTAGTCATAAATGTTGAAGGACCAAAGTAAGGGTGAGGTGGTACACAGACCAAGCCCTACAATAATATTTCATGACATTAAATATTATTATTATTGTAGTATTGTAGTTCTCTGGAAGTTCTCTTTTTTTGTGTTATCTCTTAGTTGAACTACTGATCCCAGGTAGCACTGTGGAGGAATAACAGGAGGGCTAAAGTTCTAAAATTTAGCTGACTACTTTTATAATGTGGCTGCTTTTTTCTCACAGTTAGACAAAGACAAAAAAAAAACAAAGGGACACACAGAGACAGACAGTCAGAGTGAGGAGTGCTGCAGAGATCTGAAGACCTGTGCAGGTGTTGAACAAAGAGATGGAGAGGGAAAAGCCACAGGGGCATGAAAGATGTAGAGCCAGAGACAATGGGTAGTGACCTCTGTGGTACAGCAGACAGAGAGACTGCAAAAGGCTGGAAGAGAAACTCAGTGGATGGTGAAGTGCATTACGAGCTGTCCTGAATAAAACAGCATTGATAAATAACACATGCACACCGATCTGCATTATTGTTTGACTCTGCATGTTTGACCTACATGAATTGTTTCACACCTTCTACACCTTGTTAATCCATCAAATTCTCATATTTTCTTCTTTACTAGAATGTACTGATCATGGTTGTCACAATACCAGAATTTTAAACTTCAATACAATAAGTAAAAATGATAGGGTATCATTACCTGTTTTGATACCATGGATAAAAAATGAAAGTCTTAGGCTGCCAAAATTGGGTAATGCATTGTTATTTTAATTACCAAAAACTGTAAGCAAACTCCTGCAAACTGTCAAATACAATGGCTTATTTGTGCAATTCAGATCCTCTGCTCTCTCTCTGTTTGAAAGACAGACAAAGTAACTTTTATGTCTTTATGGGATGTCAAATTGACTTGGAAACCACCCTTCTTTATCTCTTGTTAGTGGCAGCGTTGGGCTCAGTGAGGGACTAAGTAGTCAACTTCCTGACTTGGGTCAAAGTATAAATACTCCTGCTTAGATATGACTCCAGTACAAGTGAAAGTTGCGCAGTCAAATTATGACTTGAGTTAAAGTACTGGAATACCTGCTTTTAAAAAATACTGAAGTATTCAAACCACTCTTGGAAAAAATCTAAAAACGTTGTATTTTCACAATGCATGAGTGCAGCAAAGAATACATGGGTGTACATTCTGCTACGTTATAGAAAACATGATTTACATTGCATGCTACAGATGTCATGATTTGCAGCTCTAAAATACTATAATAGGAAAATAATAGAAAGAACCAAAAATACCTGACGACCAGGTAAATGTCAGTCAGTGACAAAACCTTCAGATTTGAAACATGGGCTTAAGATATGGTCAAGGGTGCTCAGGTCGAAAATCGGCATTCTTGTCAGTGGAGTTTCGTCCAGGTATGGCAACAACACTTAGACAAACCACTTGCAGAACTACATGAGCACTCAGTTTATTGTCTGCATCTGATTTTAGAAAAATTAAATTAAATTCATCAGCTGACTTCAGAGCAAAAGTAGCGAGTAACAAGAACATTTATAAAACTTTAGCTGAATAAAAAGTACGATATTTGTCTTTCAAATGCTTTGGAGAAAAATTGGTAAGTTTCCCCCAAAAAATACTCAAGAACAGATACTCAAGCAAATTTACATTGTTACTGGCGACCATTGGTTAAAATTATGACTGATGAGCTATAGGTTTTTTTGCAATTTGGTACACGGATCATTAAAAGATCTGAGATTGTATTGTTTAAACAACCTTAGTACTGATACAACTTCCTGTTTATTAAGACGTTAACATCTTGGATCAGAGCCAATCAAACCAGACTACAAATATTGGTTCCCAGTTATGTGTCTCAGCCAACCAGTTGAGTTGCATCATTTGTCAGTGTTACTTTAGGAATGATACTGTAGGGGTGCTGATGGCGCAGTGGTTCATCAGATGTATGTATGCAAGCGGACGGCCCGGGTTCAAATCCCCACTGTGGCTCCTCTCCCGTATGTTATTCCCCACTCGCTCTCCCTGGTTTTTGACTCTATCCACTGTCCCATCTCTACATTAAAGACACAAAAAGCCCCAAAAATAAATCTAAATAAAGAAAAGAATGTTACTGTAAGCCTGTAGCTTATAATAAATGACAATATTTGAAAGAATACATAATCATAAGAAAAAGGCCGCCATAGGCTAACATTAAAAAAATACAAGAATATAATATCAAAGAACCTCATTCTCTGTCCTGACACGGGCAGAGTTGGCAGGACCCTGATCCAGAGCAAAGGGGTCTTGCTCACTTGACATGACCCGGCTTATTAAAAGGCTATTTACTACAGAAATCCATAGATTCACTGATTAACCTGTCGTTGCCTACAGCTTTATTTTTCGTGTCTCATGAATATTTCCATAAGATTAAGCCATGTTGATCGAGGTTTTTTACCTTTGGTGGTGACAATCTTAGAGGTGAGCTCTAGAGTCTCGATGTCCTCGGATCCAATGTTCTCCAGGGTGATGGTCAGCTGCTGGGTCTCTCCGTTGAACAGCTGGACGGACACAGTGCTGGACAGCTCCTCTTTGACCATCGGCTGGGCTGTGTGGGCCGACCTGTTCAAGTTTATGGAGGAGAAAGAACGATTTAGTCATTTAAAGTCAATAGAAATGTACATTTATCGAAAAAGAATAACTTGATAGATCCCAGGCCTGTGTGTTGATATGTTAAAAATAGCACCGTTATTGTGAAAGTTTAAGGGACAATTCTTCAGGCATTAATCAACTACAGATGTTTGAAAACTGGCAGAGTTTTAAATGCACTCCCTCATGCTTTGCAGGCAGTTGATTAATGCTTTATGAATCTCGTTAGTTGTCATATGTTGAGAGCTTTTTTTCCCCCCATGGCAGAGAGTCCTGTTGAGAGTTTAGCACCACTTTCAATGACTTTGGGGTGTTTGCCATCAAATCTCAATTGGATTTTATTTAAAGTGCTTAAAATGTGAAAGCTGAGGTCCATTTAAAAGATGGATGACAAAAATCATCGCTGAAATAATGGCCAGGTCAATCAAAACTTTCAAAGTGGAGCCTGTATGTCTTGTCAAATTAAGAACTGTCAGCATATTGTGCAAAGGGCCGAGAAAGATCCTCACTCTGTATGTACTGACTATAGGACGAAATGTCTTAATGTCATTTGACAATTGAGGAATTATAGAATATTGAAAGTAGAACTTATGGACTAGTTGATTTTGAGAGTCTTTTACTGGACTTAGGCACATAAAACACACATTCTCCCTTGCCATTTAAACAATGCATCGTTTTGTATTTCTGGTCACATCTCAGTCAATTTCATCAAAGCAAACAGGAATATTTCATCACCTGTCAAAAGCAAACCATCACAGCGGACACATTAAGTGTAAGAGAGCCTCTGGTATCTGTTTTTACAAAGTATTGCAAATACTGGAGCCAAATATATGAAATATACGAGATTCAGAAAGAGTGTGGGTGTTGGAAACAACTTCATCATACCTCATTATACATGCACATGTTGAGTATCATGATTTAACAATGCCACAAACGTTCAGCCTGAGGCTAGAATTACAATGACAGGCATCACCAGGCTCGTTTATTCTGAGACTTTGAGAGCAGGTCAACAGAAAAATATCTTGTTTTTGAAACTCATGTAAAGGTTTAAGCAGAGCAATGATGGGAAATATTTTAATATAAACGAAGTGATAATCAAAAAGGTGTTTTGCTTTAATGCCAGCAGCTCATTTTGAAACAGATATTGCATCTCCAGGTTTTATAAAATGTTGATAAAATGATCTTCATTCTGAGCCTTGAGGAAGGCTAAAAATAATGAAGCGAATATTAAACACAGGAGGAGAAGCTGTAAGAGCTGCAGCTTGGTGCTGGAGGCAATAAGACATCTGAGGAGTCAATGAGGCACCTCATCGACCAAAGTCAAAGCTGAAGGTCTACCTGTAGACCGGGTGGAGCACCCTAGAGGTGACATTTATCATTTATATTCTACTTGCTTCATGCGTCTGCCATGGTACTCGTCCAACACGGGAGAATAAAAGCATTTCTCCAACTCAAAAGCTGCTGAAGTGATGTACTTACAGACGTGACCTTAATAGTAGATTTTGCAGCAGCTCTCCTGTCAGAATTATTTACAACACTTCAACGTGTGCAACCTGTTATTATTTTAGTAGTAATTTAAGCTATGAATTCTCTTCTCGTTTCCAATTTTTACTTCGAAAACATGGATCATACCAAACAGGAAGGACTTGACAAAACATAAACGTTATACACGCAGGTTACTTCAGTGTTTCCCCTCGGTTTAAAGCGTTGGGGGGGGGGACACGGCGACACAGCGACACAGCGACACAAACACTTGAAGGAAGTGTCCTTTTCTATCTGAAAGGTATCCTTAAATTACTTCTTTCCCTGATTTCCGACTCTATACACTATCCTATCCCTACAATAAAGGCACAAAAAGCCCAAAAATAAATCTTAAAATGTATTTTTTTTTTTTTTTTTTTTGTTTTAACTCGGCCTTCAGGGGGGGGCGGGGGGCTGTTGGGGGGGGCGGGCCAATTAGAACACACCATAATTAAGCACCTTTAAGTGCAAGTTGCTTGAGCTGCAATTGCCTGCATTGTTGTGTTAGCAGGCTCCAGACTCACACTTAAGAAATCAAGTCTATCCTATACTGTAAATGTCTCTCTGAGTCATTGAGTCATACCTGGACTGACTACAATGAGTGAGAAGCGTGAGTCCCTACAGCTGTATTGTTGTCTAAACCATGTTTATATCATGTTGACATGGACGGGATGGCCTTGTGTATAAAGCTGTTTTAGTGAAGACCAGAGAAAAGAAGAATAAAATAGTCTATTTACTGCTGATTTGGATGTCAAATAAGTGCATTACGATCACAGTCATTCTGTGTAATTTATGTACAATATGTAGCTTTCAGTTAACCAAAGCATGCTAACATCAGCCTGCTAACACAACAATGCAGGCCACAGGCAGTGCAGCTCGAGCAAAGGACAATATGTCCGCTGCTGAATGGTGTTTAACCATGCTGCGTTCTAATTGATAACTCCTACATGCGATCGCAAGTGGAGAGGGGAATTGGAGGTGTGTCGCTGTAGGAGAGCGGAGGCTTCAGAATAGCGGAGGTGTCCCCAAACAGCAGTTTGTTTTGGTTTCATCCTGGTGCTTCAGGGGCGACATCTACTGGATCAAAGAGTCAGACACTCTTCTTTTAAATATTAATTTGATAGGATTTGTGTGTGACACATCAGTGAAATTCTGCTCAGTGACATTTACTTTGTCACTTGTTGGGAAATTGAGTATCAACACTCCAGGCAAAGTGAAGTCTGTGAGTATAGAAGTGGCACATTTTTTAATGTTTTGACTTTGTATTCCAGCACAAAGGATGTGAAATTCAACAATGACTGTGAGGTTAAAGTGCTCACTTTTTGCTTTAAGGGGGTTTGAGGGTGCCCATATCAATCATGGGTAAGTGAAGCACCCAATGTCCCTTTATACATTTATGGCCAAACTGTTGTTTGTGCTTGTATTGTCTGTAGTCAGTCGTGTGACCTCATTTTGTCTGGGACAAAACTGAATAAAGAACAGAAATCAGCCAAAAGATCACGATGTAGCTGGTTGTTGAAACACTGTGAGCATCCCGAAACAACACACATCATTAGCTCTGTCTATTTGAATGTCGTCTATTTTAATAAGGTGAACTCATAGCGTTGATGTAAACTCATAAGCACGAATAAAAACAAGAATAGGAATAGAGGTATTTCCTGACCGTGGCAGTGATGTGCTGAGCTGGAGACGAGGCAGGGAAGGAATGACCTCCACCAAACAGCCGCTTGTCTTCACACCAGACAGGCCCTCCAGCAGGCAGTCGCTGGTCACGCCAAACACTGCAGTGTGGTAACCTGTGTTCAAAGTGAGATTGCAACAAATGTTCAGCCTTTGAGGAGCATGTTTTGTAGAACAATAGTTGATCTTAGGTAATATCAAGGGTATTGTTTATTTCTTAAACAGTGAATGCAGCAGAAATGTAACAATTTCATTACAACATCTGAGTAGGGGTGTGCTGTACTGTTGAACATACAATTTTAATTGTTATTTTAACAACGTTGCATTGTATGTCGCTCATTTTGCGAGAGAGTCCACACACATTCACGTCTGACTGACGTCGTAAGAGCTTATTGCGAGACGTGGCTCATCCTCACTCGCATGGAGGTGGTTTGGCTTCAAAAAAGACGGATGTTTCCCAAAAAAAAGCCAATCTGCAGACTATGTCAGAAAGCACCTGCCATTAAAGAGCTTGACAATTAACTTGTTTCACCGTCTGCAAATGAACCACCGCACAGGACGGGAAGCATATGAAAAGCTCCAGGAGTGAGCGGTCGACTACGCCAAAACCAGCTATGGAACTGGAAAAACAAAAAAAACACATTCAGCAAACTTTGGCATTCAGTAAGAGTGCCTTATGACTAGAAGGGCAACAGATGGCAAGAAATAATCCTGTCGCCAATCACACTGCAAAGGACATGTTGCCAATTCAAGCAGTCGAGAGAGATGGTTTCATACAACTTTTGACTACTTTGGATCCAAGATTCACCCAGCCAAGCCTAGTTTAAAATGCTCTCGTAATAGTTTTTGTTGGACTTTGTACAATATTTTACAAGGTAAATCTCGTAGATCACTTTGAAATGGTTTACTCATACCTGCACCGTTCGATCTGAAGACTTGCTCTGGTGATTTCAGATAACTAACAAGACTTGTTTTTCTTAAATATATAGAATCAGAAATACTTAATTAATCCCAGGGGGAAATTTCGGTAAGTTGTTATTATAATCATAAACAAAATCTAATATACAATTAACAAGAAGAGAGCTAGTACAACACAAGACTTTTACAAACTTGAGTGTTTTTTAAACACACACTCGTCATTTATGGTTATTAGCAAACTCCCAAAAATATAGAGATATGACTTTTTGTCAATATTGCACACCCCTACCTCCGAGAAATGCAATCATTCATTAAATTAGAACACCAGATGTGATGCTGAGTCATAACTCCTTTGATCAGTTCACCATCATACCTAATTATCAACTATCATAGTAGCATGAAATGGCTTTAATAAAAGGACCAAAAACACTTGTGCCTCACATTAGGTAGAGGACACAGATAGATTTCTGTCTGATGTATTAATGGATTAAAACTATGAATGGGAAGTTAGCTACATCACTTTAATTTTTAGCAACCAAGTAACAAACCAGCTGATCCTGAGTGTGCTGATTGCTGACAGACGACAGCATCTGTAAGCTAAACCAATCAGATTTGACCAATAAACACTGATAGTAAGGTTACTTTACTAAGTTATTAACATTTAAGTGCTAGTTAAACTATTTGTTCACTGCCAGTCAGGTGTGAACATATTTATTAAGGGCTAGGAGAAGAGCTCATTACTAATTTTTCATATCTCAGGGCATATTCAGCAAACCAGCTATGTTTCTACATACAAATCAACAACACTATGTTAGCCACTTCATTGAAGGCAATAAGTAACACAAACCCAGCCAATATGATGTCATTTTTGGTTGAGAAGTTAAACCTAATATTACAAGTTAACTACATCTTGCTGAGCAGAATGTTTTGAATCCCTTCAGCATGCATCGTAGAGTTTCTGTTTTTTTTTCCTTTCAGAGGAGCAAATCAAGAATTATCCATGTTTTGATCAGGCTGTGTAACCAGCTAATAGAGAAGAGATTGGTACTCCAGCAGTTCAGTTTTGGAATGGAACAGCTCTCCAGCTGCACTCACCGTTGACAGTGATGTTGCCAGCTGTACGCGGGACACCAACCAGAGTGACAGGGTACAGGCCGGACTCTGCAGGCAGGGAGAGAGCAGCAGGCAGCGATTCAAACTCCACTCCAGAGGTCAGTAAACCCTAAAAAACCAGAAAGAGACAAAATGGCACATTGTAGTAAAGTATATCAAAGTAAAAGACTTTAAAGACGTGAATCAACTTTTGCGTATAAAAGCTGTTTAAGTCAAGGACTAGAAAAAAGAAGACGAATATAAGCCTGCTGCTAATTTGAATTAGAGCTTACTACAGTGTGCTAACATTAGCCTGCTAACACAACAATGCAGGTCACAGACAATTACAGCTCAAGCTAATGAAAATTTTGCCTTCCGCTTGCACTTAAGTCCTTCGTGGGAACCCGAGTGGAGGAGGGTTGGAGGTGTGTCGCTGTAGGAGAGTGGAGGCTTCAGTATGGTGGAGGTGTGGCCAAACAGAAGTTTGTTTTGATTTCATGCTCAAGAGGGACATCTACTGGATCAAAAAAGTTGCACATTCTACCTTTAATCATAATGTCTTATACAGATATATTTTTGTTGTTTGTTTTTTTATTATCGTAAAGGTAATTGTTTGAAAACCGCTTAATACTGACTGACACTATAAAACAGCCAATCCAGTCTCAAAGCTCTCTTTTGAAATAGTGCATCATTAGTCACCACACTAACATGGCATAAATCTGCCTTTCTCTGAGAAAAAGCAAAGTGACGTGCAGCTGTCTGATTCTCTGGTAACACTTCAGTGTGAAGTGTCCCTCCAACTGTTTAATGTGATTCATCATCTTAATCCGCCCATGAGGTCCCGAAGTTTAAATCTCTGCCAGCATGAGGCGGCCATTTCCATTGGAGAAAAATGCTCTCCATGGGAAATGGCCACTTGAGCCATGTGTGCCAAAGACGTGATTCAAAGCCAATCCTACTGATGACAACACAAAGGGAAGAGGGATCAGAACAGTTCTAAAATATTGAGTCCAGATTCCTGCTGGGGTGATGTGGAGAGCAGAAAATCTAAAGCCAGCCTCTTTTGTGCAATGGAACATGTTCACTTGAGTGTCAGAACAGAAATAATGAAAGTTTTAGTGAACTTTAACCATCTTGGATGTATCTAATTATTTAAAAAAAACTGTTTGGTTTAGCTCTCACATAACTGGCCTTGTTATTGCAGTTATTGCAATTATTTGTATTGGTTATGATAACATACTAATCCTAAGGAACGTAAGTGTTAGGATCTGGGAAGAAAGCTAACATCCAAATGATCATTTCTTCACCTCTTTGACTTCCTCTTGGCCACATAACAGCGTTCCCAGATCTCAGAGTTTTAATTGGTGAATACAGTATTGTTATCGCTGATAGATACAACAATGAGTGCTACTAAAATACAGGAAATAAAATCCCAATTGTGATAAAAATAAAGGATAATTATCAGTGAGAAGAATGACATATCCCACCTAAAAATACGTAAAAAGCCTCAAAGAGAGCAAAGGCAGTGATAAGGAATTTTTTTGGGGGGCTTTTTATGTTTTTACTGTAGAGATAGGACAGTGGATAGAGCCAGAAATCATGGACAGAGAGCGTGGGGAATGATATGCAGGAAAGGAGCCAAAGGTCGGATTTGAACCTGGGCCACTCGCTTCGAGGACTTCAGTCCCTGTACAAGGTGCGTGCGCCCTAACCCCTCGGCCAAGCAGCGCCCCAGTGTTTTATATCGCACATGGATTTTATTTACCTACTGTTCAGAACAATATCAAAAGGGCACAGGCAATATACCAGGACCACAAACAGCAGTGAGTGAATAATCCAATTGGGCAAGTTTTAACTCCACTAGGCCTAACACTGGGAGTCTAAACTCAAACTCAGACCCACCAGTTGTTCTCTATTATCAAGCAGCAAAATCTAATGTTGAGAAAAATAAGCCAAAAATGAAGTCCAAAAGAGAAAAACCTGTACAGGAGGTGCATTTATTAAAACTCATCTGTTCTGATATTTAACCGAAGATTTATTTATACATATTGCATAATTAACAGCATGTTGAGTTGACTGAAAGGAGGATGCACTGTAGCTGTTTGCCAGGAGGATTATGTCCCAACTCAGCTCTTCTCATTCTTCATTCACTCTGTCATTCTTTGGCTGTGTTGTTTAGATTGATCCAAAGTTAGTTGGAATTAGCCTTTCCAATATGACAACCGCCACCGTTGGGCTTCAAAATGCTTCGTCAGAAACAAGTTGGTGACATCACTGGGACTACATCCATGTTTTATAGAGTCTATGGTCATAATCTGACACGCCTATAATGCCAATTCCAATATTTTGGGGGGCTTCTGCTGTAGCCTATTATCCTGCCCTACAAGCCATTTGGGACTTGAGAATGAAGTCGGAGCTGATAAACAATATCTATAACTGGATTGTAATCTGCACTCATCTGAAGATAAGTATCAATAGAAATCTACCAAAAGCTTAACTGTGGACTAACGCAGTTTTCACATTTGCACTCCTGAAAATATCCTGATAATTTCAGGAGGATATTCTTCTGATACATACGTTATGCTCCTCACAGCGGGAGACTATCCCTGTCATACAGGAGGGGGGTCTCCTGAGGTAAGAAACGTATGCAAAAGTAGCGGACGAAGCAACAGAATCCTCTATATGATGCTCTATTGAGAATATGTGCCTTTGTATCAATGCTACATGTAGTTTGGAGGAATAAAAATACCAGGGGTCTGGCAGGAGGAACTCCATTTGAAGTCCAAATGGCTGTTTTGCGTTCACACATACAGTTCCTCCAGCAAATATCAGTAGTTTTTCAGGAGTTTTCTGCAAGTGTGAAAGCCCTATAATACACAATGGGTTCTGAGATTGCATTTTGACAGATGCAGTAGGCCTCTTTTGCTCCCCACATGGACAGTTGTCCTGCAAAAACCTCTTCAAACATGATAAGTCAAACAAACAGACATTCATTTATTGCAATTTGTTATACAAAATAGGACATGCCATTCACGTACCGCCTTATCAATTCCGGGCTCCAAGTTCATTTTTTAATAAGGTCTATAAACTTTCTTTAAAAAGATGATGTCATTTGACACTAGCTTCCTCTCTAGAGCAAGAACAGTGTGGCCTCTTCCCTTAAGGACAGCTCTTGTTAAAGGCTGCCTGTGACATCACTTTCAGGTTGTCAATGGTAATGATAAAGAATGTTTCATTATGATTAATTGATGAGGAGGTTATAAAACTTTTAAAACAGACACATACACAGAAGCCTTATTTGTAGACAGACTGAATGTGGCTCTGATGTTCTCTTTGAAACTGCACCCATGTTCCCTCAGATTGACTGTATTTACATTCCTTGAACACACCGTCTGGTTGCATGAGGCAGACTGAGGTGACGTAATGACTGCATCAATCCCTAACAGCAGACGCTACCTCACTGGAGGGAAGGCTGCCGGAGAGCTGAACCTCCGCGCAACCACGGCTGTGATTTCAGTCTCCTTCCTTTCACTTCAGGACATTATTATGCTCCTTTATTTGAAAGCAGAAGTATCGGTGTTAACCTATTGGAAATGGTTAATTTGCATTCTGCCTTGAAAAGGTTAATTAGCCTGTCACACTAACAACAACGATTAGTGCATACACAAAGTTAATTGTATTGTAGGGGAACATGAGCATTGACTTCATTGCAGAAAACCTGAAAAAAGCATGACGCTTTACTTTGATTATACTTAAACGGTATGATAATGAGGATTGATTGGGATTAATTAAAACTGCCAATTTGATGCCAAACATGGAGGCTTAGAGTAGAAAGACAAACATAATGAAAAACACAGATTCAAAAGACAGATTTTTCTGAAAACATTGAAATGTTAACCTTTTGGGATTACCAAGCAGGTACCTATCTTTTATTATGTCACTTACTTATTTACTGCAGTGAATTCAAAAATACAAAATCCTTTTTTGTATAAGCATGGCAAAGACAAATGTTTTTTTTCAGTCCACTAGATTGTTCAGTTTGACTCTGGTGAGGTCATCAGAAGTTCAGTGTCAGTGGTAAAGTTGGTTTAAAAAAAAAGGTAAGTAAGGCACTGTGTCCACCTAGGATTTTCTTCTGAGCACCACTGTCTTTTTTTCAATAGTTTTTAATGAGCAGAGAGCGTTCGCCGCAGTCTTTTTTACAAGCACAAGAAAATCTTTCAACTTTTCACCGTCGCTCTTTTCCAAGTGTTTAATATTCCTCGTAGTTTCGCCGCCTAAGGATCGAAAAACGGCAATTGGACACGGGGCCTAAGTAAGTAAAGTGTATTTGTATAGCACCTTTGACTGATATACATCACAAAGTGCTTATCATTAAAACGAGTACACAATAAAACAAAATAAAACAGCAGAGAACAATAAAAAGCACAGGGGAGACAGTTAAAAATCATAACAACAATAAAACAAATAATTACAGTGATGCATTAAAAGCAAATGCCACTGAGAAATAAAAGCAAAATAAATAAGACAATTGATGCAGTTACTAGAGTGGTGCAAAAATTCAAAGAAGTTCTCCAAATAAGATAAGATAATCCTTTATCTATCCCACAACGGGGAAATTTACAGACAAATGCTTGTCTGAAACATTTTCGGCTGCTTCATGAAAGTGTTAGGAGTCTAAGGACAGCAGAGACAAGGGGAGAACGTTCCATAGATTCAGAGCAACAAGCTTGGAAAGCACGTTCACCCTGTGTTTTAAAACAGCAATGGGGAACGGCCAATAAACGTTGGAGAGAAGACCTGAGAGGCTTATAGGGAGTGTATGGGAGGTGGAGAAAGATAAGACAGTTAAGTACATGATAATGCTATTTCAATGTAATAACTTCAATAACTCAAGGGGCTTCATAAATGTTTCTATAAGTTGCTTGTTTTAAAATAATGCATGTTATAGTGAATTAGTGTGGGCATTTGCACTGAGCTTAGTCTGCCTGTGTAGACTACAATACAATCCCACTGAAGTGAAAATAACGGAAATATTTCATCCTCCTCTGAAAATGAATCGCTGAGGGTGGGAGTAAAAAAGCACTGCGTCAATAGAAAATCAATGAAGCCCACAGCTGGGTATTTACGCTCAAGTTGTGTGATGACTGAGAAGGAGGACCTGTCCTGCCAAACTGCAGGGTCACCTTGGTGATGGAAGATGAAAGTGACCTTAAGAGAGTGTGTGTGTGTGTGTGTGTGTGTGTGTGTGTGTGTCTGTGTTTTCTGGTGTGTTTCAGGAAGTCATGTAAAGTGAATGGATGGTTGCTCCGGTCTAGCAGAAGTCACTTTGTCTGAGTAACAGAGGAGCTCTGGGCAGCGTGCGTCACCCTCTCGGCCTCTACCTGTGTGACTTTACTGCACCACCTGAGGTTCCCAGCTGCCATTGAGCTGTGAAATGCTTCAGCTTCCATCTGTGACCTGATCAATTCACCCGTGAGGGGGGCAAGTAAATAACAGCATTATCACTAGTTGACCTTGCAGATTTCATGGTTCCCCCTCAGAGAAACTCTGCAAACAGGCAGCTTATTGGGATCCAACTCCCTGAGCTTCAGATGATGAATCAAGTGCATTTCTTTTCTTAATGTTATCTTTTTTTTTTTTTTTTACTTTAATTGAAAGAAAAAAAAAAGAACAGACCAGAAAACAGCACACAGGGTTTTTGCTGACAAAGAAAAATGATTAATATAAATAAAAAAACAAGGAAATTAAAGCTTGGTTGCTGCATTTTAATTTAGCAAAAGCACTTATTTATATCTGTAGTGTCTATAAATCTGTAATTCATTATCTGTAATACCCATGATGTAAGCGTATCCATAAGAGTGAGTAAAAACTTGAAAAAAAAAGAAAGCAGAGCATGAAATCAGCTATATCTGTTTGGGTAAGAATTAAACCTTCCACACTTCAGAAAACTCCTGAAAAACGACTTATATTTCCCTAACAGCTTAACTTTTTCGTTCGGACTTCATCCGGATTTTTTTCTGCAGCGAGTCTGAGGGAGCTGATGTGAGAACGCAGCAGGATATTCTCCGGAGAATTCACCTCGAGCCAATAGGATGGGGAGTTGACTCTTTTGTTGATGTTGTCATTCTGCTGAACTACACGTAGCGTTGATATGAAGACAAACATTCTCATTAAAGCATCGTATAGCGGACTCTGATGCTTTGTCAGCTACTTCCGTGTCTCTGCTTTTAAGTAAACAGAGACACTTAACTTTAACTTTTTTTTAATTCTGACATGCCGAGTAACATTTGGCCAAAAAAAAAAAATAGACAATCTTTGATCCAACTGTGTTTTTTTTTGATGATAAACTGAAAGCAGAGTTGAATTAATACTAAATTTAGAATGAGGTCATTAAACCTCTTAAAGGGCAGTGTCTAAGGTGACTTTTTGAAAGCCCAAAAGAAAAAGGCCAAAGGTCCAAAACCCCAAGAATATTCAGTAAAAAAATACATTTAACAACACAAACAAATTTGTGAGGCTGGAAATAGCAAATGCTGAAGCTTCGCTTGGTTAATCCCTCAAATGATTAATTTACTGTAGTATCAAATTTAAAACAGAAAAGTTCTAATTATTTTACAAAAATTATTTTCATGATATTACTTTGGTCCATTTCACCAGCACTTTGTGAGTTAGTGATTTCAATATTTATTAGAGATAACATTTCCTCCCTGGTGTTTTAAACCACACAAATACTCTCAGAGAAAAGCTGTCTGGTGATTACTCATCCATTTTAAACACTTCCCAGATGTTTCAAACTGGAGGTTGTCTACATTTCCTGTGTCTGTCGCCGCATGTGCTGTTATTAGACGATGCAGGGCAGCTAAATCAACCAGCAGGAGCTGTCCAAGTCTATTTGGCATCAGCTCGGAGACAGCCACCACAATTAAGAGGCCGCTGTCTCCGTTCACAATCTGCCACCAAACTTTCACGGCAATTTGTCTTTGACTCTCCCAAACAATTAAAGGCAACATCACTTTTGACAGGTAGTACATTTCATGAGGTGCTGTGTTTGCAGCTGCTATCTGGCAGCTGATAGGAGGCCTCTCCCTGCTGGTCTTTTATTGAGCCTGATGATTACTTTGCATCTCAAGGTTGCTGCGCATCACTGCATTCATATACAGACACAGCAGTGAGCAGGTGGAACAGCAGTTTTTATCTGGTAAGTTTTTGCTCCCTTGGTTAAGAAGTTAAAAAGCACATAGTAAAAAAGGATCCGTCAGAATTGTGATTTATGCAACAGTTAAGAACCTTTAACAAGAAATCTTCTAAAGCTTAGAAGCTGCAGTAACCAAGCATCCGTTGAACATCATAATCAAATTGGATTCCCTGGTGTCTTGTCTTTTTACAAACTTTATTTGGCATAGAATAGAGGCACAAATGGACTTAAGCTTACCTCAATATGAACCTACCGGGTGTGATAAGTTGGTGTGTGAAACCATAAAAGTAATGGCACTACAGGGGGTGTGGCGCTCCCTTGTAATGTTTTTTTTTTGTTTTTTTTTTACTGTCAGGACTTAGAAGGGTTTGTTCTCACCATCTCATCTCATCATTACTGTATTAAAGTGTCAAAAATCTTTCAAGGCACCTTAATGAGGCTATCAAAGAAGAGAGGAAGGCCATTTTTGCTGTTCTTATGTGGGTGTACGGGGACAGCTTATGTTACTACTGGGCGAAAAACATTCCAGCAGGTTGTTATTTTTTTTACAAAGCTGGCGGTGAGATATGTAGATTAATCAAAAATGTAAACCATATAGCATGTTAGCAGAGTACATTCTCTGTTTTTAGTAGAATGAATTTCACTGACCATGTTCTCAACACGAAGTTCATAAGGCATGGGGTTGTAGACCATGAGCTGCACTTCACAAACATCTCCTTGAACCCACTGGAAGTCTAGGAAATGCAAAAAGAGAAACATGAATACATTAGAACAAGATGCCAGCTGTATTAAAAACCAATTTTGAATTAACGAGCTGAGGGAAATCCTCCATTAGGCTGCACTGCCATTAAACATCTAAAAAGGCAACAGCCAGTAATGGATAACATACATTTAAAAGAAATATGTGTAATAATGTCACCAACTGGCTTTCAGTTATGCTTTGATTAAACTGCAACCAGCTTCTTCAGATCGGCAGCTTGACATTAAGGAAATACACCCAGGCGGGTTTCATTTCAGACATGAGTAAGATATGAAGATCTTATTCTACTTATATCCGTTTATCTTGTCGAATCCTGTTATACAATGACACTAAAGGCTTCCAATTAAATCTAATCCTTTACTATGAATCTACACCAGTGGCTAGTTAGCTTAGCTTAGCTTAGACTAAAGACAAAAACACAGCATTAAAGGTTCACTGACACATCCAACATTCCCAAAGTTATGTAAAAGCATAAAATACATGTCCCCTTAAGGAAGAATGGCTATTGTAAATGGACTTGGTAAATGGTAAATGTTTAATGGACTTGAGTTTGTATAGTTATTTTCTAGTCTTCTGACTGCTCAAAGCGCTTTTGCTGATGGCAGAGGCTGCTATGTAAAGTGACCATCAGACTCAACCAATCCACATTCATACAACGCCGACGAAGCAGCGGGAGCAGCTTATGGTTGAGTGTCTTGCCCACTCTAAAGCCTGTGGACGTCCTATCACTCTGCCCTCACATTTATAACTGGTGATAGATTCGGCGCTCATCATTGTTTCCTGAATGAGACAGTCGGTTGGCCTACTCTTGAAGATAGGTGCGAACAGCACGGATAACTACATCACATTATGTTAGGAGTTAATTAAAGCAACTCCAGAGATACAAGAGAAGGTAGGTAAGCATTGAATAATGGGTGCTGTTCTGCAGATTTATAACAATTCTAATAATAAGGGCGGAATATGCAGAGGAGAGCTGCAGTCTTGACTTCCGGAGAGAATAACTTGTGGTTCAACAACAGCTTAGTCTTACTCGAGAAAATAAATATTGCAGCTCTGCACTGCATTATCCATCATTCCTGAGATAGTTGTTGAAGGGTTTGTTTGAATGTGAAGCTGCTGTAGTCCCACTGTAGGCTTACCCATCTCCATTGTAACATTTTCCAGTCCATTTGAAAGTCCATTGTGGCAAATAGACTTGCAAAATAAGGACCTGACAACCTGAGCTCAGACCCCTGGTCGGAAAAGGGATTTGTTTTAAGGCAAACCTCATCCATGTACCTTGGGAAATTAAGTCAGTCAAAAGAAAGATATATATGATGTGGAATCTGGAAATCCCCACACATCCTCAGGTCTGGCTTACAGGCATTCTCTCATTGCAATTAAGTGTGAAATACACTTCAGAAGGTAGAAAGACAAAGTGGATTGCTGTCTGCTTGTTTGCATTGCCTCAGTACAGACGCCTCAAGTGGCCATTGAGATTCTGAATAGATCTCCAAAGGCTTCAGCTCTTTGAGACCTCATTGTTCAAAGCAATAATGAATGTTTTGAGTGAATGCATGGCTGCACAGTTTGTTAAACATTGCCTGTGTTTGCTTCCTTAAAGGGCATTTATTTTGTCTCGCACGTGCATTGAAAACCATCTTTTTATTGACCTAAGAGAGAACCAAAGAGGTTTGGTGGTGTTATTGCATCCTACAGAAAAATATTCTGTGAACCTATCTGCATCATTAATCTTTCATACTGAATAATACATTTCCCACAATGCCTGAGCACCGGAGCAAAAATCATCCATGGGAAATGAAGCGACCCCCGAGCAGGAGGGAATGCATTGAAACATAGCTAAAGCAGTGCTCTGGAGCTTGCTTGAAATTACTAAAAACTAACGACTCAGAAGATATATATTTCTTTTGGACATTCGGTTAAAAACTGAAGATGCAAGAATTAAAACAACCAATAGAAAAAGATTGCACAAAAACAAGGTCCATTATTCCTTTCCATTCGACAGAAAAATGTTGGGAAGGTTAAAGAACACATTGGTTGTGAAGATCGATGGTGATGTTTGAAATAGAAGTTAGATAATGACAACATCTCAACTTAAAATGTTGTCATGATGTGATTTGTCGTAATGATGTTATATTGAAAGTTGAGCAAACTTTCCCACCGCAGCAGGAACAATACTTAACACATTTTGTCCTCATGAATATGGTGTCTCCTCAACTTGGAAGGTCCAGGAGAAGACCAGTGTTGTTTTCACACATGCACAAAACTCCTCAAAATGTCCAGAAATTCATTTTTTCTGCCATAGCCCCCTAGTTGGGGCTAGCCAATGTTTGAACGCAAAATTCAGGAAAAAAAGTGAGAAAAGGTAATGACTTTTACTGTGTATCATCCGACCTGTAAGCAACCATTGTGCATGTAGTGAAGCTGCTTCATACTCTTTTTTTGCTTGCAAGTATGTTCTTTACTGTACCACTCATTTATTGATACTATGGATATTTCGAGTTACATGTAGCATTGATACAAAGACAAAAACCGTCATTATAGCTGGTTTGCGCAATATATTGTATATAACAGTTTTTCTTTGTTGAATTTTGCCTCCTTGTGTTACACATTGCAGAGAAGGACTAAAAGGGCATAAACATGCCGCCTTGAACAATATATCTAAAGGTCTATAGTTTCAGTACAGATGTATTCCCAGCGCCAATTTCCTCTTGAGGGTTATGAAGCGTATCTTTTCTTATCTGCTAAACTTGTAATGCCATTAAAAGCCACACAAAAGTGGCTCTTTAGTCAATATTATTTCTGAATAATTCTGCAGAGAGTGGGCAAACGCAAGAACCACCCAAACAAAAACAAAAAAAAAGAAATCTTTTAAAAGGACGTGCAGGAACAGATGCAATACACAGCTTGTCAAGACTCAGCAGGAATAAAGTGCATCACGGTGAACCAGAGGTTTGAGTCAAGTTTGTATTTTTCCATGTGCCCAGGGTCCGACCCATTTGACCCCTCACTACTGTCTCCTGTCAAAATGAAAGCACCCCCACCAAGAGGAAGACAGTGATTTATCTTTTTCCTTCAGTCTAGCTTTCATCATGTGTAGCACAGTTTATTGCACTGAGGTAAGGTAACTTCAATCAAACCACATTGGTTCTCGAGACTCTGTATGTCAACAATCATACTTCATAATTTCCAGAAAAAGTTGCTGGAGCTGAGGTGGGCATTAGACCTCCTGACAAACAGCTACAAAGCACCCAGCTATCAGTCAGCTCAGCCCCACACCTTTATCATGAATAACTTTTTGGGTGGGGCTTTTGTAGCCAGCCTCTAGTTGAACTGCAGTCTTTTGCACTTCTGCGTTGGCTTCATTTTTTAAAACAGAAAGTTGCTTGTTGAGTAAAATTCCCCTTCCTGTATGTCGCTATTCCACTGTAGTAAATAAACAACCAACACTGAAGCAAATGGAAAGCTCTGGACACTGTTATAGAGCCTCAAAGTCTCACAGCAATTATTGTGAAATGCCCAATCCCTTGTTATTGGACCTTTTGTTTATGGCTGAATATTGACCAGTTCCACAGAATATGACTTAAAGTTGTTGGAAATTAAGCTTTGAATGGGGAAAAAAAAGAATCTTAAGTGCAAAACCCCTGGTTAAATAAACATCTCATTTTGCTGTTTAGTACATCTAAAAAGATTTAGGGGGCATGAATCTCTTTTGGATTGACATTTTCCTTGTTGTAACTTGAATCTTATTGACTGTGGGTACAACAGCACATGTGACAATCAGTGTCGTGTAGCCTTTTTTTTTTTTATTTGCACATGCAACATGCTTTCGTGGTCTAGGCGCATGCATGTTCAGAGGAAAACCTTGCTTGAAAGACTTGATTTCTACTGTTACTGCGTATTGGGAGTTGCCTTGAAGGAGTGAAGAGAGAATGTCTTGGAATTAATCTCCAAAGCTTCATAACACTAGACTGTAGCAGAGGAATATCTAACTTCCAACATGTAAATCCAGATCAAAGAAAAGAGCAGCTCGAGGGTCCAGACGTTTATTAAAAATCTCTCGGGGTTCCCTCCGTCTCCGTTTCTTATGTGAATGGTTATGTACACTGTAATTGGCTATATATATATATTTAACATTTAATTACCTAATATTCATAATGTATTTGATTTGAATTTAGCATTTTAACTCTAGTAATCAAAATATTCAGGCTTTTGATGATGATACACAGCTTCCAAAGGTCTGACTTGTTGTTTCAGTAGCTTTTCTACAGGAAAACATCAAGGGAACACTGACAACAATGCTTGATCAATGTGAGGCTATGATGACAGTAAACTGTCTTTTAAAAGCAGGTATTCATATCATGACTGGGTGCCAAGTAAAAGTCAGAAGCCTGGCCAATAATAAAGACTGTAAAAAAGGGTACATTTATTACAAATTGCATATTTTCTTCAATACAAGTACAGATTAATACAGCCTCTGATTGATGTTCTTTTGAGATTTTCTTTTACTACTCACACACATTCAACTACAGAAATGGTAACTTAACAAAAGGTGTATCCCAGTGGTTCAAAGTGCCAGGGACGGATCTTGATGAGATTTGAAAGTGATGTCAGATGAAGTGGGCTTTGCATAATGTCCCCGACTCAGCATTGGCAACAAGTTGATTCGATTGGTGTCTGCAAGTGCTGCACCGACACAATCCCAAACTGACTTGCACTGCAACTCCAGATCAGAGTAAAGCTAAACCTGACTTTGATTGATGGCTCAGCACCTGGGACAGCATAAAACACTTAAATGGATTCTCTGGAGACACAATGCAAACAATAGGGGGTTCTTTTCAGTTCCCAGTCAGTAACACACCAGGTCCCTCAAGTATATCCTTGGGCCCGTTGCTGCTGCCTAAATATCAAGTGGATAAATACATCAGGTCCAAGTTCAGGTGACTTTACATGTATTCCGCAGGTGGATTGATGAATCTCAGGCTGTAAATGGCATTTATGAGGTGGAGATGTCAATTCAAAAATTGGAATGGAATTTTAAAAAGAAGTCATTTGAACCCCCTCATTTCAAAAAGTTATCTTGACTTGCTTGACTGTGGACAAATAAATGATAGAAACTAGAAAGTCAATGAATCCCTAGACCAACAAAACATTTGATGAAACAAAAAAAGGAGATATTGACCTAATTTTGCATGAGTTCAATTACGGCATGTGTAATATTTAAAGAATAAAATGTGAAAGGTTTATTGGTAAATGGATCGTATTAATGACATACAATTTGTAATATTTATTTGCATTAAAAATGTGGATTATCTCCATGCCAATGTATTATCCAATCTATGACTGACCTAACAAAGGCAGCTCCTTTGACATTTTGATCCCTTGATCTATGTTATAAGCAGCCAATGTGGCCACTGGGGCGGCTATGACTCAGTGGTAGAGTTGGTTGCTCTCAACTGGAAGGTTGGGGGTTTGATCCCCAGTAGCCACAAGACACTTAACCCCAAAGTGCTCCTGTTGCTTCGTCGCGGCCTATAATTTTTTATGAATGGGATAAGCTCATACTGATGGGATAGTAAACCCATTCCCAAACTGATGGGTGTGAATGTGACCTGCGGTGTAAAAGCGCTTTAAGTAGTCAGAAGACTATAAAAGCGTTATACAAGTTCCATTTACTATTTACAGGCTTGAAGCAGAGTGGATGAGAACCCTAAATGCTTTCCAACAGTTCCACAACCACTTTACATTTCTTAAGTCCCCAGCTTCAATATGTAGACTCAAGCGTCTATCTTCTGTTTCTAATTATCTTTTGTCAAACGAATCAGATCCAGATGACACCTGATGTAGATTCAGAGAACTGTATATTCAGACTGAAAGACAGCTTTTAATCCTCAAGTCATTTCACATTCAAGTGCTAGAGTGTGAGTGTCCAAACCCAAATGCTAAATGTTAATGTGAGCATGTGCAGCAGGTTGTGATAAGCAAATTATGCATACATGGGCGCAACAGAAACGGTGATGGGCTTACCAATCTTCTTACAGCGCTCCTCTCCTCTGTTGTGCATAATGATCGGAGAGTAGATGAAGGGGCTGGCGGTGGACATATTCTGTCCCAGCAGGCCTTTCACTTTGTGAGGACGCAGACTGACAGGCAGATTGAGGAGCTTCACCGATCTAGTTTTGGCATCACAGAAAAAAGAACAACAGTGACATTAGTAAGGCTCATTTCCCACATGTTTTTAAGGCACATTTAACACCAAAAATGATCATTTCACATTGTGATAAAAGTCTTGAACAATCAAAGGGCTGAAGGCAGAATAAGAATTCAAAAGAAAGTTTGAACAAATTAATTGGCCTTGCCTGGTTACTGTTGATTTGCCTAAAGCTCTGCAGCAATTCATTTTCCTACAGTAGCTTACTCACTGCAGTGAAAGCCTGTATTTACCTAATTATTTTTACATTCAAAAAGCTCTGAAAACTCAGAGGATATCTGCTGGAACAATTCCAAGGGAACTTTATACACAAATGACGAAAAAAAAAATGCACCGTGGAAATATTCTAATGCCTATGAATTAATGTGAACAAACAGATAGCTGTCATCTCCTGGGTCTTGTTTTTTCCTTGCCTTGAGGCAGATCTGTCTTGCTTTGAGAAGGACTTTGCTGAGAGATCAATTATTTAAGTAATATGAATGCAAGACGCTGGTACCTCACTTTTCCAACAATGTTTTTTTATGTTTTGTCAAATGACATTTTCCACCCATTTACTTCACAGAGCATCACACTTGAAACTGTTAATGCCACTCAATATCGTCTATGTATCCATTTTTGTTTCCTTGTCAAACAGCCATTAGCTGTGCTTTCACTCTGGAAACTTTACTATGTGTTTGGGAATCCTTTGAAGGAAATCAGCAATTCCACTGCAGGAAACAGGGTCTAAATAAGGGTCATGTTTTATTGACCCCAAACAGTACAACAGGTACAACAGGTAGTCATTTCCTACTGTGAGGGAATTTCTGAGGCGGAGTCTTTCAACAGCACTAAAACAATCGGATTCATTCTGATCACTGGCATCATGGTTGCTCCACAGTCATACGCAAAAGCCAGTGCTTATCCAGCTAGTATTCAAGGGTCTTCCAAAAAATAAAACCGATGACAAATGTCTGAGGGCACCTTTTGTTTCCTTACAAGACGTTCTTAGAACCAAAAGCTCTGGCTACTTCGTCTGGAAGGAAGTAATACTACCTACCTGCCAATCAGAGTCCTGGCTCTAGATGAGGATATCATGTTATTGACCCCAAACAGTCATTAGAGGCGTTCTAATTTGTATTCAGTAATTTACTGCTTACATAATTTGGGGTCAAAAATCAACAGTCACAAAAAGTTTGGAAATGCATCAGATGCAATGCTTCATCTTGCAGTTGCAAATCAGGCTGTTATGGCTGCAAGGCAGTCCACCAATCCACTATCTATACTGCTTATATTGTTCAGGGTCACAGGGTGACTGGAGGTGATCCCAACGGTTATTGGGCGACAGAAGGGGTATACTCTGGACAGGTTGCAAGTCAATCACAGGTCTCAGACAAATATAAAGACAACTATTCAAACTCACACTCACACCTACTGGCAATTCAGAGTCACAGTGACAGCGCTAACCAACGCACCACCCTGCAGCGCTGCAACATCCTCTTTTCCTGGTAAATGCATGCGATCAGAGCTACAATCGTCTAATTTTGCCAATGTCAGGCTCAGAATATTTTTTTTTTCCCCAAAGCCTCTGAGCGACTGAGAAAAAAGAAGCACTGATCGGTTTTTTTGCCTTTATTTATACATGACTGTGATAGAGTAGAAAAATCGAGGGAGAGAGCTTTGGGAATGATATGTGGGAAAGAAGCCGCAGGTTGGACTTGAACCCAGGCCGCCCGCTTGGAGGACTTCGGCCTCTGTACATGCCGCTATGTCCTCAGCGCCCCTGACCTACTTTTAAAGATGAGATTTTTGTTTCACTATAGAGACACTACATCTCTTTCAACAAAGCCACCAGACGTCATAGTCAGAAACTTGAAATAACAATCTGAGCCTGTCAGATGGCAAAAAACAAACCTGACTCTCTTTGATCGGGTCATGTGATTGCAGTGATTATGTTGCAGCTATTACAGGTGAACCCAACATTTTCTACCAATTAGTCATACAGACAACACAATGTGTATGTAAATTACGTTTAAAATAACTGAATTGCCCTTTAGCTCCTGTTAATTAGCTGTGTTTTTCCGCTATTTTTTATGACCCTTTTACATTTGGTTTTACATCATATTCTTTTTTTTTTTATGTTTTACACAATGTAACCAGACCAAATTTGTAATTTGGATGAATTTTGCGCAAACAAAAATTGAGCCAACACAGAACAAGTTGCAAGAAAGCCACAATCATAGAAAAGTCTGACTTACCGGACGATGGGAAGCTTTGTAAAAGGCACAGGAGGGAGCTTGAGTCCATCAGGAAGGGTGATAACCTCCATTCCACCTGGACACTTGGAGGTGTAGTTCTCCAGACTCTGGGTGACTTCTTTCTTTTCTAAACGTGTAGGAGCATAATGGGAGCAGAAATTACAACACTGGAGAGTAGATAGAGTACATTACATACAGGTACAGAAACAAGTACCTGAAGATAAGCAGCAACAATTAAGATACTATTACTTTCTCTACAACCTGACAATCCACACTCCATTGTAGACGTTTCATCTTTTTTATGAGATATAAATTAGCTCAACATTAATGACCCGTGACATTTCTCTCTCTGCAATAACAGCCCCAGCCTTCAAGTACAATTGCAAGTTTTATTGTACCATCAATACCTTTTTGGGGGAACATTGCTGCTCAGCCAGCCATACAATGTTCTTTGGCTCTGCAAGTTTGAGGGTGTACATCAAACAGAAACGGACATTTACTTGCAGAGAAAGCCTTCAGGTCTAAATCCCGCTACAGGGCTACCTTTTTGAAATCTTATGATGTCAACATATTAATGGGATTTCTTTATCTTTATTTGTTAATTTAAAAATGACATAAAGATGTATTCACTTTCATAAACCAGAGAGGGAGGGGCTCAGTTGTCATTATTGTCATACAGTAGGGACTGTAGGTTGGGAGTTCGATCCCCAGCTACTGCAGCAACATGTCCAATGTGTCCTCGGGCAAGACACATATATGCATATGTATGAATGGAATAAGTTACTTCTGATGGTCACTTTACACAGCAGCCTCTACCATCAGTGTGTGAATGTGTAGGTGTGACCTGCGGCGTAAAAGCACTTTGAGTAGTTAGAGACTAGAAAAGCGCTACACAAGCTCAAGTCCATTTACCATTATTTTTCTTGAACAAACAAAGGCAAGATAATCCTTTCAACTTTAGTAAGGTCAGAAATTTAGCTTCTACATATAATAACCTTGTGCACAAGTTGTTGGGAACAATTAAATGCATATTCATTTTGACGACACTACTTCATGGACTAAAACTAAAGCACCCTTTTAGGCCCCGTGTCCACCTAGCTTTTTTTTTCTGAGCACCAGCATCTTTTTTCCCCCCGAGCGCTATGACTTTTTTGTGCGCCGCTCCCATAGTTCAAGAAAATCTTTCAACTTTTCAGAAAGGCGCTGTTGGTGTACCTGGCGCTCATTTCAAAATGTATGATATTCCCTGTAGTTTTGTTGCCTACAGATCACGTCTTGAACCCACATCCTCTTTGCTCCTTGTCTGATCTCAAATTTAAATCGGGCAGTAAAAAGTAACGGTGCAGTGACGGTCATACAGCAGCCGTTGTCAACAGACTGTTGTCATAGATACAGGATGCACATGCAGCACTTTTCTTCTCAGCGCCCAAACGCTTCATGCAAGCGCTCCGAAGCGCACAGCCAGCGCTTTTCTGCCCGGAAAAAAAAAAGCTAGGTGGACACGGGGCTTCAGCCAACTTTTCCAGTTCCTGCTCATCACTTTTCCCTCTATACGTGCTACAGTACCATTGCACTATTTACTCCTACATTTCTCCCACCTTGTACTTGTTACATGCATAATTTCTTACACATAAATTTCCAGGTTCACTTGAAGCAACGAAACAAGAATAAAGAGATAAAAAGGATTACAAACATAAACTTTACAAGGCCTCTAACCTCTGCATTGGGTCATTTTTCATAGTATTCTGCTCACTGCAGAACTTCAGTTTGTTATACTTTAGGACTTGCTGATACCAGCTTAAACCAAGACGTAACCTCTGGTGTTGAAAAATGAAGCCAATGCAGGAGTGTGGGAAAAAAAAAACCTGCAGTTCCTCCAGTAGCTGTCTGCAGTAGCTGTTTTTTTTCAGGAGGCTTAAGGCCCGCCTCAGTTCCACCTCTTCGCCTGTTACTAGATTGAGCCAAAGTAAGGTAGAGTCAGCTCTTCTAAGATGGTGACTGCCATCTTTAGGCTTCAAAACACCTCAACAGAAACCAATGAGTGGCATCACTGACACTACACTGAATGTTTTATTCAGTGTATGGCTAAAACATGCTAAGGTGTGACTTAGAGATCAAGCAGAACTTCATTTTTTTCCACCTCAAGCACTGCTCCAAGTACAAGAAAAAACATTCTTAGAAAACTGACTACATACATACATTGTGTACAAAGGAAGGCACAAACCTATAATCACAGACTTGTTGCAAACAGTAAACGAAAAGAAAATGAAGCAGCACAGTTAGAGTGCCAGGAAGAAGTGGAAAAAAAGAAATAAAGAAGATAATTAAGTGAGATTGAGATGGATGGACTGTGGCAGGGAGGAAAGATCCAGAGGAAGAAGCCTGGTTGAAAGTACCCCAAGATGAATGGATGATAGCTGAGGTGTCCTTCTGGCTCAAAGCTTTCCAGATTGATGACATATTTGTCATTTTTTTCCCCCCCGTTAGCCATTTCTGAGTGTTCACAGCAGCCAAACTCTTCAGGGGCCACTCCAGGACTGAGAGCTAAACTGTGGCTGTGAAATGAAACAGTCATTTCTGTGTAAATGTTGATTCTGTTCCCATAGATTGCTTTGTGAGAGATGAAGCAATAATGAGCAGGTAGTTCTATTATGATTAATAAAGCATGGATCATTTAAATTGAAACCTCAGATTAGATTTGAATTATTTATTTTAAATAGCATCAAATTTCAGAAAACACCAGGAAAAAAACAGCATTTTATTCATTTGTAAATAACTGATATGAATGGCACTTTACAGGGTTATTGCTTGATTAATTTGGGGGGAAAAGAATTTCATCAGATTGTTCTTATCATGACCTAAACAACATCACTGCAAGTGCACAATTGAGGAAGATTCACAACAGCAAGACAAATACTTGTATGGTCTTTTTGAATGGCCTGACTGATATGGAATTTTTGCCGATACCGATAATAGGGAAGGAAAAAAATCAGATACCGATAAATTTGGCAATATCTTTCTTAGATCTATTTCGACCCTTAGAGATAGATACTCACAGACATACATTACATTGATCCCTCAAATACAGTTATCAAACACTTTTGGAAAAGACAGTGAGGACAAGATGGTCACTCAACTGGAAAGTAACTGCACATGTACATGCATCACCGCTTGACACTCTGGAGAGTGATCATGCTTGTTGTAATCCATATAGCACCCCCTGCTGGTGAAAGAGAACTGCAATTGTAATACAGTGAAACTCAAATGCAATGCTGTTTTGACTGGAGAATAAATCTAGTAGGCGCAAATCTGAGATAAAATTAGCCGATACCGACAGTCACTGGATATGTTAATATCAGCCGAAATTATGGGCTGGCCGCTTAAACGGTCAGGCTCTATTTTTTGGTCTTCAGGCAGTCCTTTTTTAGTTACTTGTGTTACTTCAAATTCCCTTTGTAGCAAACATTTAAATCTTTCAACATTTGGGCATTAGCCTAAGTGTTTTGTCAGATGCCAATTGTGATTTTCACAATAGGCAGAACATTTGTTAAGCTGTTCTTTGTCAGGACTCGTTTATTGGCGTCATCTTGATATGTCAGTGAGTCAGTGAGTAGAAGACAACTTTGCCAGTGTAGCAAACTTTAAACGGAAATGTTTCCAAGCGTTTGACTTCCAAAAAGAGTGCACAGATACCAGGTGCTAAACACCTACAGGAGAAAAACATTCAATAAGTATTCAAAAATACACATTCCTTCAGGGTGGTTAGATAATAAATGCAAGGGGTTAAACAAGGAGGACAACTATTTTTGATTTGCATCTATCCTGCTTTTTTTTAAAGAAGTCCTTACAGCAAAGCACATCGGTTAGAGCAGCACATGAAACAAGACGCATGGATCAGCAAAGAAAGATTTATTTTTTTTACTGAACAAAGAGAGGGGAGGAAATACGGGCGTCTTTATACAGTTCCCAAACACAAAGATGTTATATTCAAGTGTCAACCATCAAGAGGAACAGCAGTTGAAGGCAGGATGAAAGGCAGCATGGGTAAAGGTTTGCTCTGATCGTCTGCTCTAAAAACTGAGCTAACATCACATTGTTTTAAGACAGGAACTTAAACGAGACATTCAATATTTGCACCTGTTCAACCTGCCTTCATCCAACAACTTTGCTCGAAGTCCTTTTTTTTCCCCAGACATCAGCTGTATTTATGCTGCACTTTAGAAATGTTGACATGACTGAACATTTGTTTCTGAATAAAAAGTTATTTTATTGCCAGTGCCAAACAAATCAGTCTGGCAGTAACGAGTGGGCTTAAATACTCTGACAGCTTCTGAATCGCTTTGCCACTTTAAATCTCCCAATTTGTCCGGATAGATCTAATATAATTTGTAAAGCAGCAGGTGTCATTTGGAGACTGTGTGCAGGTTTAAGCTGCATGAGAAGTAATATATGAGATGTGTATGCGTGAAGGACAATCTGTGAAGAGTAAAAATTGTATGAAATCATTTTTGGATGATGCACCAAAACAATCTTTCAAGTGTGCAGTGTGCAAAATGTTCTGTTTACCTCCATCCCTAACGTATTCCACTCTCACTGCTGCTACCATAAAACGAGGCATTATAGCTCAAGTTTGACTGTTCAAGAGAACAATTCCCTCTCAGGATTCAGTCGGGTTCACAGTTTTAAAGCTCTGAGTGTGTGTGAGTTCCACTTGTTCTTTCAATTTGGTCGTGGCTTATTTCCATCTGTTCACATCCCTGCCAACTTGTAGACTCCATTATATATGGAGTCACTACCTCGTTGTTTTCACTATAGGGCCAGACTGATATGGGATTTTTTCGGTCCAATACTGATGTCGATATTGGAGAGAGAAAATAATTTGATATTGATAGAATTTTATCAGCTGGCCAATTAATCGGTCTGGCTCTCGTGTTAATCAAACACTGGCTGCACTTACATGGATTGTTTTTCATCCTCACTGAATTCATTACAATTTAAGATTCCAGGTCAATTTGTTTGCATCAAATGTGAACACATCAAACTGGAACAGCTGTGTGACGCAAGGAGGACTGAAGAAACATAAAAACTAAACTGTCAGTTTTTCTCGTTCCCATGAATAATCTACAA